GTAATGAGGTATAAATTGCTCTGTCAAATGGTGGAAATGTTCACTTTCCCCCTCGAGAAGGTGTAAAACCTATAATTGTTTTCATGCTTATGTAATACGTGAAGATAACATCATATGTTACGAGACTTAGAAGAAGGATGCATAAACTCATCGAGTGATAATTTTCGAAAGCAGGAAAAAAAATAGTAAATGAATGGACAAATTGTGATTAGCCTCAAGAAATTGACCAGTACTCTTATCTTGCTTGAAAATTTTAATACTGAATCATAAAAAGAAAACTATTCATCTTCATAGTTGTGGGTTAAATATTTCAATAGCCATTGAATTTTCCCAAATGTTTCCCAATTAACATTGAGCTTTAAAAGTTCTCCAAGTTGCTATTGAACTTCGATAAATGTTTCCAAGTTGGCAATGAAGTTTAAAAGTTCTTCAAGTTGCCACTGAACTTACCAAAATATTATTCCATCGGTCACTACCTATTTTAAAAGTTAATGGACTAAATGACATGATAGACGGAAAGAAGTATAGAATAACAATTTGGTAAGTTCATAATACCTCTTAACTTTTAAAATAGCAAGCAACGGACTGGCGAGTTCAGAAACATTTTAATGAATTTAGTGGAAATTCAAGGAGCTTATAAAGCTCAATGGCAACTCAAAAATGTTTGGTTAAGTTCAATGTCAACTCAGAAAATTTTTAAAGTTCAGTTACAATTAGGAAATATTTGTATAAATTTAGTGGCAACTGGGATATTTAACCCATACAAATGTATTAAGGATAAATGTAATATTTGTAAACGGAAATTGAAGTGTTTGCGAAGTATAAAATATCCTATCACCAAGTGAGTTCCCCAAAAATCCAGTAAAAGCATCATAAATTTACCTCTGCCATTGAGGGGCGCATCTCGGGTTCAGTTTGGACGCATAGGAATGCTGTTCTAGCCATGTGGTAAAGTTCATATGTGTTATACAAGTTGTCAAGACGGGGATCAACAAGCTCGTGCAATGCTAGTGTCTGAATTAATGGTAATGCCAGTGACATCAATAGAGATGTCTCATAGGAAATAAAACACCATGTGACAAAAACTTAAAATCTTCGGCAGGAACAAGGAAAAAATTGCAAGATAACGTACCCACAGCCTTACGGACTGTTGATCTTCTCTTGTAGAATCTACTGCCTTACGTCCCGATATCAGTTGAATCAGAACAATGCCAAAGGAATAAACATCAGCTCTTACAGAAACAATGCCATTCTCTGCGTACTCTGGTGCAAGATATCTGCACATGGAGAGAAACCTCAAGCTCGATTTATTTGGAAGGACACTCTTGCTTTATGCAATTTAAGTAGTGACCATATTTTCACTGTGAAGTATAAAAACCTACTCACCCAAGAGTGCCTAGAACTCTCGTCTGTATATCTTCTTCATTTGTCTTCCACTTTGCGAGGCCAAAGTGTCCCAGCTGTGTTTGAAGAGAGTGTGCATAATTATTCAGTAAAACAAAATTTTAACTTTGAAATTTATGTTCCATTCATGATATTTTCCTGAAAAGCCGTAACATCAGATAAGTCTTATTTATAATGGCCCAAGCCTGTAACAACTAGATCGTGCATTGAGATGAGAAAGCCGTATAAATCAGCACTATCTGAGCAATGAAGATTTCAGACGGTTAGAGGAAGAGACTGAATCAAGGCAATCAAACTTGGATGAAGAAATTGGGCAAGGGACTCAAATTATCTCTGACAATGATTGATCAAGTTAATGGGGAATACCCTGTGCAGCCTTTTTCAGGTTACTCTCAACTATCTTACTGTAAGAAATTGAAGCAAAACTATTGATAGATGCACCATTGTTCTTGCTGAAACAGAGTACAGGCTTTATAATTAGTTCTTTAAATTAAAGAATCACGAGACACTTCATTGTATCTTAATCAGTTTCATAAATCAAGCATAATGCTATCAGACTACAACCCAATCGCACCGTGAACTCCAGAATCACAAGGAGACTATATTACTGTAATGCACTTATATTCAATCACACACCCAACAAGAGAAAAAGACAACGGCTGAGGAGATAGACTATAAAGATTACCATAGGAACATATTCATGTGTCAGCAATATATTGCTCGGCCGGATGTCCCGGTGAATGATGGGATTTCCTCGACATTCTTCATGCAGAAACCGCAATCCCTTTGCAGGTTCCAATGGAATAGCATGTCTTCGGTGCCATTCAAGAACACAATCTGTGTTTTCTGACAATACACACAAAGCCAGAGAGACAGAGAGAGATTTTATCTCTTATATGTTCTACTTCCAGCCAAAAAGAACTAATTAACTATTGATATTTGATAGATAACTTCAAAAACTTGTACATTTTTTACGTACCAAATAAATGCCACTCCAGTGATTTGTTACAGATATACTCATAGACCAAGATGTTAAGGGAATAGCATGTCTTCGGTGCCATTCAAGAACACAATCTGTGTTTTCTGACAATACACACAAAGCCAGAGAGACAGAGAGAGATTTTATCTCTTATATGTTCTACTTCCAGCCAAAAAGAACTAATTAACTATTGATATTTGATAGATAACTTCAAAAACTTGTACATTTTTTACGTACCAAATAAATGCCACTCCAGTGATTTGTTACAGATATACTCATAGACCAAGATGTTAAGGTTTTTGCTGCAGAAATAACCAAGAAGCATCACAATGTTCTTGTGGCGTGCAAAGCTTAGGACATATACTTCGGAATGAAATTCTGAAAAACCTTGTCTACTTGCTTCTTTACGCACCTTTGTAGCAATAAGCTGCCCATCCTTAAGCCGACCTTTATATACATGACCATACCGACCTTCTCCCAGTAAATTATCAGGTGAAAAATCGTTTGTTGCAAGCTGTATCTCGGAATAACTATATCTCTTTAAATATAACTCCATCGTTATCTCACAAGAAATACAGAGAATGGGCACATCAGAAGATCTCTGTCGACTAGGCTTTCCTTGTTGTTTTTGAATAATTGGGGAAGTAACAGTATATTGATTTTCGCATTTAGCATAGCTACCTGCAGAAGTAAATCATCATAACTAAAAGTCTACAAACATGTGAGAGACAGAAATAGAAATAAAAGATCACAAGGGGTGCTCAAGACCAGCATTTCTTTTAGTTAAAAAGTTTTAGTGAGGAGAGAATTTTTACTCAATCTAGTAAACCAAAATCCAAGCTTTCCACTATTTCCGTCTCTTGATTAAAATGATGTAGTGTGATTCTTATTTATTAGGATGATATGGAAACAGTATAAAGTGTGTGCCAGCTCCTCTTTTTTCCTTTTGAAATGAGTTATGACATGAAACCTGATTGAAGGAACCAGGAAGGATCCTAATATTAATTATGAACTTCGCGAATTGTTTATGACAAAGTACTCCTCATATACAAGAAATAGAAAAAACAAAAAATTTTAATAAAAGAATCCAACAATTTCTTGTGATAATCAATTTCTGAATTCAAAAGCAGCATGATGGTTTTTTTATGAACTAAAAGGATGGCTGGGCTGAGCAGTTATATAGTTCAATCACAAAGATTGCATCGGATGAAAGCAGACCTTCTTAAGAACTTTTCAAGTTAAACACACTACACACATAGCCTATCTAACCTGATTCATGTGGTTTAAAATTTGAACCAAATTCGTCTTGCGAGGAAAAGCTGTACTGCTTGAAGTTGGAGGTAAATGAGTTGCTCTTAGCCATATCAGAACTTTCCAGTGAACCCATAGAAGTATTGTAGTTGATAGACATGGAAGTTTGTTCATTATTATCGTTGTCTTGAGCAGATGGGAGCGCAATAGGCTTGGATGGTGAGTAAAACAGCTTAGCTTCAAAATCATCAAAATCCTGGTCAGAATAATCTGATCTCAGAACTTCTACGGATAAGTTGTCAAGGACTAGTGCAACCTTGCAAGCTATGTATTTAAGGTAAAACCTCCATTCCCGTCTTAGATGCCTGTAATTATAAACTATAAGGTAAGAAGTAAAACAAACTAGCGGCTAGAGAATACCAATGTACGTTTTGAATAATTTGGCAAGGAGAAGTTCAGATAGGTATTGAATGTTGACACCAGAACATCTCCTGGCACCAACTAATTTAACATTTGAAAATAAATATAAAGGCATAGAGTATATGATCAAGGAGAATACATCTGCCATTTCTTCTGCTCAAATGCACAAATAATGCAAAGAACTTTTCTTAATTTTCATTTAAAAAAGTATATTAAAATTTTTATTGACATTAGGTATGGCTGTATGAGGATCAACTCTTACTAGCATCTTCTATATGATAGGTGAGCCAAGCCCTTGAGAATAATGAATTTGACATATGCACAATTGGCGTTTGAAGATAGAAATGATCAAAAGGGTGAAAGGCATATTACCCATTTGTGATTCGAAACGAATTTCATTATTTTTGCTTAAGTATTTGTGGTCAATCTTGAGGTCAGTCACAGTACTATTTTCACAAAATGTTTTTCCAAGATTGATACTCTTATACAATAGTAACTTAAAGAATTGTATATCACTTGAATCGTTTTGAAAAACTCAATGTGGCCCCTATATACCTCATTAATCATTTTTTAACTTTCTCCCTTCTTCATTAAAACAGAATATTCTTCCAGAAAATAGCATATAATTAATCTGGGCCAAATATGATCCACATTTGTCAATATCAAAAGCTACCTATCAAGTATAACCCAGTTTTCATTCGAAGTTGCAACTTCTTGTACAATAACCGTTCTCATTGGAGTTCCAACAGTAATCTTGACTTCAATATCAACCTACACAAAAGTTAAAAGGATTTTGTGCTGACAAAACAGAAATTACAGAAACAATCTGTAGTCTTGAAGAGGAATTGTGATATTTGTTCATATAATTAAATGATAAGACATACTTTCAAATGCATCCATTCTGTTTCTCACACCAAACATCAAGAAATGATATGAAAGTAAGCATTAAAAAATAATATTCAGCAGAAAAAAGTGGTACTACGAATACAAGTGTTGGTACTCTTGGTGATACTTTTTTTCAGTATTGAAACTAGTACCTCTATCAGGATAATGTTCCAAACATGTGTTAAACGGTGCATTTCACTTAATATCCAAAATATTCCTACTCAATTCACTTGTTCAACTACATGCTTGCCATCCCTTGTTGATTACTCCTCAAAGATATAACTACACTTTTTATGCTTTGGGACACTTCACACACATGGGAACTTGTCATTGTAAACACATGTTAGAGATGGCCAATGCAGTAACAACTTGCGGTTAATTTTTTATTGATGGAGAATGAAGATAGAAATAAAAGGAATTAATTTATTTGAATTCCTTTTTTTTTTCAAGATTGACTAGAATTACGTTTATTTCCTTAGTTTCTTAGATTTTGTTTGTTTCAACTTTATATAAACAGATTAGACTTGATTATTGAATAAACTCATATTTTCTCACTCCAATTTCTCTCTCCTTTCTTCCCCTTCTCTTTTCCTTTCCTCTACAAGTCTCATTTTTGTTCATTGAATCCTACATCATTTACATGTTCTCTAAATATACATTGGTGAAGTGTTTGACATGATATGTCGAATTTTCATTTAAGTGAAGACTGAAAAGACTATAAGAGCATATGTTACCCCTTCGCCTTCGCATTCTTCAGCACTCTGCTGAAGCATGACTCCATACGCATCAACTTTTTTTGAGACTTCTTCTATAGCACGGATATGATTTGTTCCAAGGAAATTCTCAGAAGCTACTTGCATGTGGTAACCCACTGTGCAGAAATACTAGTTAGAAATGAAGAAATAAAACAAAAACAAAAAATTAAAGATAAAAACAATTTGACAGACCAAAGTAACAATAAAATGGTGTCCATACTTCATCTAATCATATTCCTAATATTGTAGGATTGCAGTGTAAATGTCGAAGTTCCTATATTGTCCAAACAGTTATCTGCAACTACTGAGATGACTATACAATTCTTCCTTAATACTTCCTGGTGCCTCCTACTCCCATTGGATACTAATGAAATTTATGCATTGCAATAAAGAATTCCTGCTTCGTAGTAATCGTCCAAGATGTGACGCTAGACTTCCAAGGTTCTACCAGCAAAGTGGATATTTTTTAGAAACCTCAAAAACCTCAAAACATTCATTTAGTTTCAATTCTCCCAAACATAAATTTCAAATTCAGTCTCGAAACCCCAGGGGAAAAGTTGAAAGTACACTAACTTGCTTAGGGATATATTGGATTTTCGTCAATAATAGATATGGGATCATGCGAGTACAAATAGTCTGATTTAACAGTAGATATTTAGTGGCAGATGTTCAAATAAAACTGCCAAAAACAAATGCCAGCCTGATCTACTACCCACAGTGGACAGAATAAAATTTTTTCACTATTGATGTGGCTAGAAAACCTTACTTATGGTTCTCTCAAACTCAAAGAACCGTATTAAGGTTCTCTTGCCATATCAGTAATGCGAAGGAGATCAATTTGCAAACAAATACAACACAGATATTGCAATTCAAAATGTAGATTATCTTAAATATATAAAGAAACAAAGACTAAAATGCAAAAAACTTACAGGGGTGAAGAACTCTGTGTAGCACCCCGAGTACCGTGATTGTATCACCAGCATGAAGAATGCATCCTTACATCCTGATATTATGAATAGTGTGCTTAAATTCCTGATCTTTACGATCTTTAGTTGCATCCAACACAATCAAAATCCGCGAAGGCATTAGCGGATTGCCCCTATTATTAATATTAATATTATTATTATTATTATGATTATGGGTGAGATTATGATTATTGCTTCTCTCCATGTCTAATGGCATATCAATCATAGAATCTTGAACGCAATGAACTTACAAATGCTGGAACAAATATGAAGGAATTTATGCCAGAATTAACAAAAATTATCAAAATTTGAGAGCGAGACTTTAACGAATCATAAATGAATTTACTCGTATCTTTATGAGAGAGTCCGATAATATCTGGGGCATAATTCAGAAATATGCAGAGGATATTCGAGTGGAGTGTGGAGGAAAGTGAAACCTTACGTGGAACAATGACAACAGAGATGATTGGAAATCACTTCAAGACATGATTTGTGAATTCATTTTTCGAATTTTGTACAGCTTTTATAGACAAGGGTTTCGGGTTTTCCGAGGTAGACTGTTCGTACAGGCATCGGTTATTAATTTCCAAATGGTTAAGATTTTTTTTATAACGGTCTCCTTGCAATTTGAAAGGGTAAATTCCTTACCTTTGCATTCATATGTTGTTGAAGATGTCCATTTAATTTTAAATAATCACGCGACACGCAAATAAGATGTGAGTAGAAGGTTAAATCGACCAAAATATTTATATTTAGGGCCTATTTAATAAGATTTTATTTTGTGAGAATATGGTTCACCTAATACCATCTATTCAGTTTTTGTGGACCATTGGATGAAGATCGACGGTCGAGATTTAATCTTGGGAGAGATGTTGTGATTTGATGGTATTGATGTTGACACAATAAGGTCTTCCCACGTTTTTGGCAGAGGCATGGTCTTTACTTCCTTCCCCTTCTTATGTAAACTCTCTCTGCCATTTCAAAGTGGAGCTCTCGGTTAGGATCGATTTTCCAGCAAAGGGTGGTGGTTCTTCATTGGTTTTCCCCTCTCTCTTGGAAGGTAATTTGCAAGTCATGGAAGACTGTTCCTGAGCCTGAAAAACAGCCATTAGAAGGGAAGAAAGCTGCTGCAAAGAAGGAGAAAAATCTGTCCAAATTCCGGCCGAACACAGGTTGTATTTTTCCATCCCTTTTTCATTGTTTTGCCTTAGAATTTCTTCTATTGGTTGATGTTTTGGTTGATTGAACTCCTAGGATCCCCAACAAACTGGTATCAGAGCTAGGAGGAGTGATATTAGTCCAAAATCGATCAAAAACCAGCAAGGAAATCGCCATTACCACTTTCTGACCGAATCTGAAAACTTGATTTCCGGCCAACCTATTGACTTTCCGGCGAAATGGACCATGGAACCATGACTAGCAGGAGGAGGCGCACCCTGTGGTGGGGCGCGTGACCGGTGGCGGCACGTGGACTCCGGCGGTAGCGCGTGGCCGGACCTCCGGCGAGCTCTTTTTGGGCAGTTTACTTATTTTGACGTCCTGAACGCACTGATGTCGTTTGTTTTCTGTTTCAAATTTTACAGAAAAAGTTGGACGATTTTGCCCCTAGCTTGACGTCTACGGTAATTTGGTTCAGAAACTTGGTGGTATATTTACTGTTTGTCAACAGTAGTTTGGTAAGATTATTTCAAACTCTCCATTAGGTTAGGTTTGGTATCCTTACCGGTTTATGCATGGTTATTGCTTGGTTGCTTATTTGTGAATTCTGTTGATTGAATTCTTGTGATTAATTTGTAACCTGGAAGCATATTTACCTACTTTATATACCTGTGTTTCGTGAACGGATTATTTCACTGTTGTGCTTCATTTCTAAAAAAAATTGTTTTTAAACTCGGTACTCAGTTTTATATTGATCATCTGGAAAAGAATTTTTCAAAACCTTTTTTGTTGTGTCCACGAGTACAGGCCACTCTTTTATAGAATCTATAATGAGTTCGAGGGTCGAATTATCGCAATTCGATGGAAAGGGAGATTACTCGATATGGAAACAGAAAATGAGGGCCATTTTGGTCCAACAGAGAGTTGCTAAAGCTCTTGATGATCCCGCTACATTTTCTGATGAGTTAAAAGCTAAAACAACTGAAATTGAAGACATGAATGAAATTGCTTACAGTT